CTGAATACTTATGACCATGTGATATTTCAGTTTTTCTTTTTTAATAAATCTGCAAAAATGTCAAAAATTCTGTGTTTTTCTGTCAATATGGGGTGCTGTGTGTACATTAATGAGGAAAAAAATGAACTTAAATGATTTTAGCATATGGCTGCAATATAACAAAGAGTGAAAAATTTAAGGGGGTCTGAATACTTTCCGTACCCACTGTAAGTACGTACTTGTGGTTTCAGCAGTGCGTTCTGTGTGAGAGGGTGAACTTGACACGCTGCTGCTGTGGTTGGATGACATCTGAGCATCTTCCAATGAGGGAGAAGGGGAGGGGCTGTCTCGCACTCGCTCCTGAAAAACAATAAAAATTCTTATAGAAAGTTGAAGTGTAAAAGTGCAGTAATAACTAAAAATCCGGACAGACAAAGCTTTCAACACATCGAGGGGCTCGCGTCTTGTATCTTTTAGACAATGTCGGGTCCAGAGTACACAAAGGAAAATAATTTTCTCAGAGACATGGCTTGCAAAGTAGTGCGGTATTATTTGGTGCTTACAGAAAAAGTTTGCGCTAATTTCAATTAACCTCGTAAACCATCTTTGGGACCCAGCCCAGTGTTTGAAAAACAATGGTCTGCATGAGGACATGAAGTGTTATAATACTTTGTGAGTACTGACGCCTACAATATGAAAATTTTGGCAATATATAGTCTCCTTTAATTAGTCTTAAGAGTAAAACCACTGAAAGTGTTTTTAAAGAGTCAACAACTTGGCTAAGAGGGTCATAGTTTCTGCCTGTATGCAGAATATCTAAAAAAAATGTATAAATAGATATGGGATTGATCTTGAGCCAAGGAACAAGTGATTACAATCTGGGAGTGATCCAGAACTTGGACATCCACCAGTAGACAATTACCAGTTTTTAGCAATAATGTAAGACACATAGAAACACATAAGGATCAAAAGATTAATTAATCTTGAAATTTAAGGGATATTAAATCTATCTTTGGAAATTAAAAGGAAGTTAGAAAGTTATTCAATTTATTTTTATTTTTCAAATATCCCATTGTGCAACAACACTTCTATGTAAGTAAAACTGATTTTGGTGGGAGTTCCTGTGCATCACATGCACTTCAGATGATTGCTGCCTGCTCAGGATGATGAGCCGCTGAGTTCACCTTAATGACAGAGGTGGGCGCCCTGGCAGGGGGGTTGGCGTGAAGCTGTGCCACGTTGGCAATGCTGGCCAACGTGGTCAGTCGGTTCATCTGGCCCATCGCCATGGAAACAGAGGCCGGCGCCAGGCTGGCAGGTATCAGAGGATGTGACATCATCATGAAGGGTAACTGATCTAGAACTGGGGGAGAACAGAAGAAAACAAAATAAAATAGAGATGTATTGAAGTAGAAAGAGCACAGTAGAGTACAGTAAGAGCCTGTTGCCTGTCAAATGGCAAAGGTCAGACCAGCAGCTCTGTTTAAATGCCATCAAAGCTGCACTATACATGCACCCACCATGAAAGCGGTCTCATCTCTCTCTTCATTCAGTTTTGCTTCAGTTGTATTCATCTGTCACAACTGAAAGGCTGCCGTCTGCTCAGTCCTGTGCTGTGTGCTGAACTGAACGCCCACAGTGTCTCCAGTTTTCTGATGGCAGGAAACTGGACACCGTCAGTATCATCTGGATGACTGGTCTGCTTCTAAACCACGGCTCAAAAATGTGTGTGCATGAGCATGTCAACAGCTTAGAGACGTTGAATGCGGACAAAGATGAGCACAGGAGGAGAGTAGCATTCCACAACACAAAGACAGTGATGGCTGTGTGATGTTTTAAATACTTTTCCTAAGCGTCACAAGCAAAAACTCAAGCTCAGCTGCTCTGGAGAAAAATAAAAACTGGCTAACTTTTCTTTCAATTCCCCGGTGTTCTTGACGAACACGTTTTCAGCAGTTCATACCAAACTCTTATTATCCTGGCCAATCTGTTGTTCACACTCCTCCCTTTAAGACAAGCATCCACTATCTTTAAAGAAAATCCTTCCTCCCAACAGCACCCTAGTGGGTTGTTTCAGTCCCTGTATTCATGAAGCAAACAATCCTGTTGGGGCGGGGGAGAAAATGACATAAATATTTATCATTTAATAAAAGGAAAAAGAAAAACAAAAGAAACACAGGGAGGAAGTGGAACAAAAGAAGCTGATGGCAGTCCTGGTGCTGGGCCAGCAATGCACGCTGGGTAATTATAAACACAAAGGAAAAAATCTTGGACTCTATTCTGCACAATTGTCACAAATAATAGAACGAGTGCACGGAAAACAAAGAGAGGCTACCCAAAGAGAAAAGATGAAATAGAACAAATAAAGAAGGGAAAGGAAAGAAGGAGTGAAAAAGGAAAAAGTGAAAGGTGAAAAGAAAGGTAAAAAAAAAAGCAAATTAAGAAATAAAGAGTGAGGCACTGACTTTATGAGTCGGGCTCGCTGGACATATGTGCAGCGCTTTGCGCATTTGGCAGATTAGTCTCTCACTTGCCCAGAGCAGAAACCAATCCAAACAAAAGATCTATCTGAATGGAGCTAAATAACCAGATGCTCCAACAACCAACTAGCAGCCAACTCCAAATATTAAGCCTTGGTTAGAACCCAGCGTTCCACTTTTGTCACCCCCCCCAACCCCTCCCCCCTTCTATTATTTCATTTTCACTCATTCGTTCCTTGTACTTAATTCTGTTTTCCCCCTCTCTTCACTTTCTCTGCCCTCCCATCACTCTCTTACGTTTCATTAAAAAACATCAGAAATCAAAGTGCCTCTCTAATGTTTATCCAAACAAACCATTACTGTAAACAAACAGTTACTGTAAATTTCCCAGAAGATCTTGTTAAATGCAGAAATGGCTGCTCCCCACTCTTCCCTTGCCCATAAGGTGTCACACTCAGCATTTGTGAGTGCGTGCGTGTGTGTAATCTGAGATTGCCTTTGTAGTGGTTAAAGCTCTGATAGGGGCCTATCCTTCCCATAAGGCCGTGGGTGGCGGTATGGAAAAAACACATTGTGCATATGCGTGTATATATGTCTGTATTGTGTGTTTGTGTCGGTGTGTGTGCTTCCACTTGACTCTATCATTAACAGTGATTAAGTTGTACAGGTTGATAATGGCTGGGGGTAACTGTGCTGCCTAACTACGCACAGATGCTGGTAGTTGTAACTGAGCGTATACAATGGTATACAACACTGCTTAAGACTGAGAGTACCTACAAACAAAGGGTACAGAGTAACATTTTAAGGCACACACACACACACAAAATCAAGCTTAAAGCATGTGGTGATTTCATTTTAGTCTCCTTATAATTCCTGAAAAGCATAAGGAGAATACTTTCGTTTTCATTTCTGCCCTAAAACCTCACAGTATGCTCCACATGTTAAGTGTATGTGTCCCAGGTTGACAGTGTATTCCACAGAGACCTCTATAAACCCTGTCATCTGTCTAAACACACCGATGTCGCTTAAACCTGTCGATAACAGCGGGGGCGATGTGTGCCCGATTTGTCTGTGTGTGTGTATTCATGTTTGTGTCATAGCCTGCGTGCATGTGCATGGGTGCATGTGTCCGTTCCGCCATTGATTGTCCAGCGTTTGTCGTTTGCATTCAGGACAGTGAATTAGAGAGAAGACTATTGATTTGGCTTCAGCCTCTCATCTTATTCATCTCTCCACCATCCAGGGTACGGCTGAGCCCGTCCGCTGGTGCTCCACTTTTGTTGGCTGCTCTCCTTCGCTGCACAGTCAGTTTGGTTCAGCAAAGAAAACTGTTTTTAGTAACATATGACTAAAAATTACACTTGCACATGTAATGAGTAGCCATGAGGTGGATTCTGTGCTTTCTAGGAATGAAGTCAACAGTTAACTGTAAATGAGACCACACTGCTTACTCAACTCTTTTCTTCTCTGTAAATCCTGATCTAATGTTACTCAGTATGGCAGACCAATGTCATGAGCATGAGTAACAGAGCTGGTTTGGGTTTACAGTCTGTGGATGTGATGACTAATGTGTAATAATGATTTGCTGGCAACTTTTTGAGACTATAGAACAAATAACTAACTGAGGATATATTTCCTGCATCGCACTGAAATCTACATATAAGCAAACAAATTAAAACTGAAGGAAATATTCATTCTTACAGCTGAATAGCACAAACTGGACATTTGTAATTAATAAAAAAATTGTTGATATATATAGAATAAGAAGCTTTATTTACTGTCATTGTAAGTAAATACAATGGGGGGGGGTTTCAGTGTCTTGCCCAGGGACACTTTGACATGTGGACTGCAGGCACCGAGATTCAAACCATCACCCTTCCAGTTGG